ACTCTTTTGCTTTTATTGTCATTTTATGCAGAATATTGTTAGCATAAACTTTCAACAACTGTTTTTCTATAATCTAATAATTTGTGTTGTTTGCCTCACTGTTCTGTAAAATTCTTGAAAGTAGCAGTTGTGATACCGTCATGGTATCACTATAAATCATTGTTTTCAAGAAAGCATCTGAAATAATAGACACCATTTATTTGTTATATGCATGACACTTGCTAGAATTTAACGTGTTATTTATAATCCTTACAACAACCCAATGAGGTAATACTGTTATTATTATCCATATTTTATAGAGTGAGAGATTTAAGAGATTTAATAACATTTCTAAGGTATTCATTGTTAAGATTTGATTGGTTAGGATTCAGAAGGCCTCTTCCTCATACACCGATAGGACCTACTGCTACTCTTTCTGAAGATTAGCTTGCATTCTAACAGGATAAGCCTATAGTCAAAAAAATTCATATCTAACTGTGGCAATTTAGAAATAACTAAAGTGATTGAGGGAGAGTCCCCTGCCACATGGAAGTTCTCTTTAGATTTCTGAAATGAAGATACATTGTTAAGTACCCTATTTGTAAGCACACTTGAGTGTCTTTATTGAACTTTTTTCCATAATTTGGATGAGTGAGTAAAGATGTATATGTTTTAGACAGCTTTATTGACATGTAATAATGTACAGTAAATCGCACATGTTTAAAGTTTGCATTTTGATAAGTTTTGACACATATACAACCTTGAAATCATCACCACAGTCAAGATAATTAACATATCCCTCATTCCCCAGAGTTTCTCCATCTACTCCACTCTCCAGTTCTCAGGCAACCAGTGATCTGCTTTCTTTCATTGTACATTAGTTTACATATTCTAGAGCTTTATGTCTATGCAGTCATACAGTATGTGCTCTTTTTGGTCTGGCTTCTTTCACTCAGCAAAGTTATTTTGAGATTCATCCACGTTGTATATATCAGTAGTTCTTTCTAAAGATGAACATTTGAATTGTATTTGTTATAGAAAGTAAATAATTATTTTCTTGTCCTCTGTTGTATCTTTAGAAAAAGTTTAAATGGGACTGATTGAAAATTCCGTTGAGCCTAAAGTCCCTTCTGGAACTTGTTTTGATGTGCTATGTACAAATTTGTTAACCTTCCAATGGAGATATAAAAAATTTATATATCCTTCTGCAAGGATTTAAATGCATTTTCATTTTCGATTAGTAGCCTTTTAGTCCACCGTTAAGAGTTTAATGTAAAATCAAGCAGTTAAACCCACTTTGGGAGTATATTGTACTTTTGAAGACTTTCTTTACTACTCTGGGGGAACCCTCGGGGAAACCCTTCTGCTTGGTGTCATGTGAGAAGTGAATATCTCTGAAGTGGCTATCTCGGAACTTCACACTGGCATTAGCTATAGATATTAAGTGGTAAAGTGCTAACCAATGTATATAATTTGAATTACTTGGGTGAACAATGTATAGGAGCTCAGTTAGATGGAAGAAAAAGGTGTCTTTACCACCCAATCTTGGATAATTATATTTTAACCTTGGGAGAGAAAACCTTTTAGTCTGCTGTTTTGAAAAAAATAAAAATAAAATGGTTAAAATCTATTATTATTGCTATGCTAATCTCACCTTCTCCTTTTTTACAATTTCAGGTGCGTATAACCCATACATAGAGATAACTGAACAACCCAGGCAGAGGGGAATGCGTTTTAGGTACAAATGTGAAGGGCGATCAGCAGGCAGCATTCCAGGGGAGCACAGCACAGACAACAACCGAACATACCCTTCTATTCAGGTAATCGACCTTTCTCCTCCGTGTGCCTCACTCTTGGTTGCTTCATTTTTTAGGTGTAGCAGTCAAATTAAAGGCCCAGTCTTTCCACGGTCTTATCTGTGGGCTTTCCTTTTTTTTTAATCGATCTGTACTAGATAAATGTCTAGCAGCATTTTTTTAATAAATATAGTATGGGTTCTTTATCCCTGCATGTAGCTATACATTATTTGTTTGTTGTTAATCTAAGTAGAGAAATTCACAGTGCTGGGTGTACATTGGCAGCTTTGAGATGATGATTCCTTTCATGGAACACAGAACTAATGAGGAAAAAGCATTGTCTCCTTCTAGCAGTGAGCAAAATTGTACTGTACCATAAAAACATGGATCTGGGAACTCAATTAGAATTCTTCTTCCTACAATCACTTGGCTATGGGAAAGGAGAATGAATATTTTTGCCTCTTTTTTCCTTACCTTTATTGCCTAGTCTTGATACTCTGGGTTGCATTGACCAATCTGAAATATAGTTATTTTTTAAATATCGTTTTTTCATATTAGCATAAGGTTTGAATGTAGTTTGTGATCCAAAATGACTTTAGTGATACACTGTTTATTTATAAAATATACTATGTTTATATTTGATATTAATACGCTGTATTTCATTTGATTTTTAATGAATTTTTAAAAGCTTTCAGTGCCAATTAAAAACCTTAATGGCAGAGTGGATTTTGAAAAGTCATTTAACCTTTCAACAACAGATCATAATTCACTGTTTTATAACTAGATTATCTGCAAGATTTATTCTATTGAACTTAAAAGGAATGCTAAAAAAAAAAGAAAGAAAGAAAGAAAAAGAAAATATAGTCTGTAAATAATGCCATGGTCTTTCCTGATGATCCATAGTGTGTGTGATTGGCAAATGCATAGTATGTGTGGAGGGAGTAGCCCCCTCTTACACACATGGTAAAAATCAGTAATCAAAAGCAACACAGTGTTCCAGGGCCTAAGTGATCAAAATCAAAGCATGCGATAAAACTGATAAAAAAATAAAATAAAATAAAAAATAAAAGGAATGCTAAGTTATAGAATAAGGCAATGGCAAATTATGGAATTCCAGGCTCCTAATTTTCATCACATTTTTGGACAGCAATATGGATTATCTAAATCCTTTTATTTAAATGTTAAAATGAGAATAAAAGGTAAATAAGAAAACAGTTCTTCTAATCCTTTAAGAGCAATCGTTAACTCCTTTCCATAAGTCAGCTTGTTCTATACATTCTTCAAACTATTTCTAAGATCTGTGTTCTTACCATTCCAGTAGGTCCCAGACGCTTTACAGTTTGAATTCTACATTAGCCTATCTTGCAGTTTTAAGTGGTTACCCTCTCTTTTATTCAGAAAGGCAATAAATACTTCCTGGTTAAGTTTAAATTCAAAATTATGGATTTTAGTGCCCTCATACCTATAAAGCTACCCATTCTTACTTAACCACCTTGCTCCCTTGTCTGCCCTACACTGGTTTTTGTATTCCCTGCTTTGTGCTTGCAGATTTGCTAGCTTCCAAACTAAACATTAGCTCCTCCCTATGCTCCGAATGTCCTTCCTTTCCCATGCTTAACTCTCCTCTTTTTTCTCATTGTTCTAGATATACTTATTATGGGAAAATTTAGTTTTGTGACCTCAACTTGATTTGTTGCCTATTATACAGTGAACACTTGGGATATGCTTACTGATTAACAAATATTTTTATGAAATGAAATGTCATATATTAAATACAATTTTCATATGTATTGGTGTGGTGTCATTTCTACTATGGCATAAGTATATACTTTGAAAAGATGTTTATGATATGTCAGTGAATCTAAGAGCATGGCATTTAGTAACTTAACGTCTAACTATTTCCTTGTGCTCTGTGATAATATTTTGGTATAATTTTACTTGTTTTTAAAAGGGAAATAAATAAGCAGAATCAGATGATATCGCAAACTGAAATTAGGGCAGAAAATAATATGCCAAGGAGCTGAGAGGTAGATACTTCCCCACTGGTTTTCTCTGGAAGGTTTCATCCAAACTGCAATTGCCAGCCAGTTGGACTTTATTTACCCAGTGCTAACTACATTATGTAAATTGAACTCTCATTTAGTATATCTGTTTTTAATGAAAAATATTTATGGATTATCTATTTAATTTCCTACCTTTTCAGATTATGAACTATTATGGAAAAGGAAAAGTGAGAATTACATTAGTAACAAAGAATGAGCCATACAAACCTCATCCTCATGATTTAGTAGGAAAAGACTGCAGAGATGGCTACTATGAAGCAGAATTTGGACAAGAACGCAGACCTTTATTGTAAGTATACAGTCACAGACATCTTCAGGAATAGGATAAGCAAAAATAATGTTATTTTTTAGTAGAGTAAACCTAATTCCTCATTCTATTTATATTTAATGTACATTTAAATTTTCTTACTATTTGCATTAGAGGTACCCTTTTATTCTGAATTAGAATACATAGCTCATGATGGCAGTAGAAATACTTCTTTATTGTTACCTAAAGTAAACAAATTATGCTGTGATTTTTTTTTTTTTAGTTTGGACAATTTATGAAAGATTTTCTTTCTTAAATTTTTACTCTTTTCATTAATAGTTAACTTTAAAATTGCCAAATTTTAAGAAGATCAACTGGAAAACTGAAATTATTATTTAGAAAAGGGCAGGTTATAAAATTAACGTACAACAGAAGTTTTAAGATTTTTTAAAAAGTATATAACACTTACTGTTGGTGAGGCTGCCAGAGATAGGTAGGTCCATTCATCATGTTGGTGAGAGAGTAAATTAACAAAATCTTTCTGGTAGGCATTTTAACAACTATATAGCAGAAGTCTAAAAAATATGAATGTCTCTTAAACCAGCAATTCTACTTCTAGGAATTTATTCCTCAGGAAGACAATTAAGCATGTTCAGACACTTAGCTATGATGAAGTGCATTGCAGCTCTGTTTGTAATGGCAAAAAGTTTGAAGCAATCCAAATAATAAACAGGGGATTAGGATTAGTTAAATAGACTGACACATCCATGCAATGTACATCGATATAACCTTAAAAATAATATTGCAAATATCTTTGTGTAGAAAGATATTCACAATATGTTAGATAAATAACAGGTTTAAAACAATATGTGATTATCTTTTTGTTTAAAATAAAATGTGTACATACACATGGTAGTACGTATACTAAGGTATTAATAGTAATTGTCTCTGGGGAGATAGGGTTGTGGGGTTTCATGTTTTTCTTTTAACTTATGTTTACTTTATAACTCATTTTTTTGTAATGAACATGTATAGCATTTAGGGAAAAATGAAAATAATTACAACAGGAAAAAATAGTAGCCTCCATATATATTAATAGTAACCATTTAGAAAATATGCTTTAAAATATTCTTCTTATAGTAAGAACACAAAACATAAAACATCTAGTAATATAAACTTGGTAAGAACTGTTTCTATTTATATTATTTGACCTTCCAACAACATTTTATACCGTAGATCACTCCTTTCTTGAAAACAAACTCTCCTGCTTTCCTACTTTTCTGGCTTAGTCATAGTTCCCTTTCCATCTTAGTCATAGGCAGTTAAATTTTTGGACTACCTGAATTATGTCCAATAATGTCTCACTAGTGCCCTTCTTGGCTGTCCTGCCTCTGCCTCCAATCAGGGATCTCATTAAGGATCACACATAGTATTTCGTCGTCATGCTTATTTAATCTCCTTTAATTCAGAACAGTTTCCCAGCCTTTTCTGGTCTTTCATGACATTAATATTTTTGAAGAGTCTACACTGTTGTTTTGAAGATCATTGTTCAATATGGATTAGTCTGAATGGTTGCTCATGATGATGTCCATGTTTCTATGAATAACATGAATGTATTTTCATATTAACATGAAACATTTTGGATAAGAAATCTACAGAGGTGATGCTCTATTGTTCTCAAAGTGCCTCTTCAGGAGCCATGTGATATTAGTTTTTTACATTGATGATATTAATTGGCATTCAATTGTAAAGAAAATGTTTTCCTTTTTTTCCCCTCTCCATTTAAAAAACAAAAAATACCACTAGAGACCCGTAGATTCTTATATTCAATATTGACATTATTATTTTGATTTTCAAATTGACCCAAATTTGACCAGTGCAAGCCTCTTCAAACTATTTTCTGTGTCTTTTTGACATGCCCTTATCTTTCTTTGAACACTTATTTACTTTCTGACACAACAAAGTGTTTAAGACTTGTACTTTTCTTGCCCCAGCCCTGAAATCAAAAATCTTTCTAAGGATCCCTAGTTTCTTTTAGTGGGGAATGTGCTTAGTCTGGTTGCCTTTTTGACCTATTCTTTTAAATATCTCAAAAGAAACTCAAATAGAATATGCCCAAAGTCATGCTCTTACATGGGCATACCTCTTTCCTCTAAAAATTGATCTTCCAATGTACCTTATCTAATTGTTGCTATAAAAGCCCTAAATGTAGGTGTTATCTTTGACACCACTCACAGGTGCACACATTGAAATCACTAACAGGTACCTCCTAAATAGTTCTTGAATCTATCCATTTCTCTCAATGACTTCCATCACTACCACATTACTACCATTGAGGTCTAAATGCCAACTGACTGATTTTTCATCAACTCTTTTTATGCTTCTTCCTCCCCAATATGTCTTCCACTTTAGCCAAAGTGATCTTTTTTTTTTAAATTTAACTTAATTATTTTATTTATTTAGACAGAGTGATCTTTTTAAATGCAAATCTGATTGTCACATCCCTGCTTAAAACTTTTCAATGGCTTTATGTGACTCTTGGAATAAGGACAGCATTCCTTATACAGCCCACGTGACCAACTTGTATTTTAAACCCTCTGTTATACTGTGTTCTCCTTCAACTCTGTACTCCAGTCACAGAAGCCTTCCTTTGGGTTCTTGTGCTCTGTGTTCTTCTGTAGGTACCTTTGCATGTTCTTTTCCTTCTGCCTGAAGTCTCCTTAGTATCCTCTTCCCCTAGTTCATTTCTGTTCATCATTAAGTGTCACTTTCTACAAGAGAACTGATCAACTTTCTCTCATTATAGGGCTCCTGTGACATCACGTATATCTCCTTTATAAAAGTTGTCATGGTTTCAGTTTAGTATTTTGTGCATGTGTGATTACTTAGTGTCTGTTTCACTAGAGTAAAGATTAGCAAATTTTTTTCTATAAAGGACCAGATAGTAAATATTTAAGACTTTTCAGGCCATATGGCCTCTGTTACAACTTCTCAATTCTGCTGTTGCAGCATGAAATCATTCTTGGGCAATATATGAACAAATCAGTTTAGCTTTGCTCTAGGAAAATTTTACTTAAACAGGAAGTGGGCCAGATTTGACACATGGGCTGTAGTTGGCCAACCCCTGTACGAGACTGTGAGCTCCATGAGGGGAAGGATTATATATCCCCATTACTTTCCAGAGTTTTTGTTGTATGGTAGAACTTGTTGAATGACTTTAAATGAATGAATAATTGATTCAAGTAATTTCTATGATCCTTGGTTTCCTCATGTCAGAATTTCAAAGTTCCTCACTACTTCTAATATTCTGTGACTAAGAGTCAAATATGATGATTCAGATGAATCAAAATCAAGTAGTATATAAATATATTAAAATAGAGGATTCTTTAAAAACTTTTGTCAAAGAAAAAGAGAACCAAGCTAAGAATCTTTCAAAGAAATGGAATACTTTTGAGGAAGAAGATTGTGGTTCAGGATTTCAAGAAAAGATTATGAGTTCAAGATTTGTTTTTTAATTATTGGAGACAGAGGAAAGAAATGTCAAAGATATTTTAGGTGCCAGCAGAATCACAAGTGTGAATGTGAAGAGGATGAACATATGACAGCATGAGCATGGAGAGGGGCACAGAAGACAGCAGCCTCCTGTGGCAAAGTGCCATGTGAAATTTGAACAAATAATTTATAATAATCAGTTTTGCTTCCTTATTCACACCCACCCAACTCTAATGATGTCATGGTTTTTCCATGTGGGAACAAGTATGACTGGTGGTGACAAGGGAGTTCCCCTAATCATCATCTGTACTACACATGCAAATTAGTAATATTTGTAGCTATTGAGAAGTTTTCCATAAATGACATTTTGAAACTTTCATTAAATATTATTGTTAGTATCAAACATCTTTCTAATTTTAAAAAATGCATTTCAGTGCTTTATGATGAGTGATTATTATAACTTCATATAATATAGCATAAAATATCCCACTGCTACTAACAATGAAGTTAGGGTTCAGAAATCAAATGTCTATGGAATGGAGTGGGTCAAGTATAAGAGGACTAGCAGGCACAGTAGCAAACTAGAAAGCCCTTGCATAAATAGGGTAGCAGATGCTCAGTTCTAGCCAGATGTTTATGTGCCACCCTACTGTTGCTAGACTTTTGAAATATTCAAGAAGCCAGAAATCCAGACGTTTATATGCAGTTACCTGATTTTAAACGTTGGTAGCTTATGAACATTTTTTTAAATGTTGACAAAACTTTTATGGGCTCAGCAAAACATACCTGTGGGCCTCAGCCTGTGGGCATCTTTTTACAACTTTAGCTTGACTTATCAAATACATCAATTTTATTGATTTGATAATGATTTTTTCTGGAGGTGAATTTTAGCTTTTTGGTGTCACTCGTCTGTTAATCTTCATTTACTTTGGTATATTTGACATAGGCATATTAGAAAGATGTAATTATAAAATGCTATATGCAAAAATTATGTAGTATATATTATTTGTAACAATTCTCTTAGAAATATAACCCCACTCCTTTTACCCTCACATCTCTATCTAAATGTATTTCATGCTTTACTATCTCCATCTGACAGTATAACTCTTCATTGTTGGATATACGCTTGCTACTTGCAGTATTCTTTAGTAAAAACCCCAGTTATGTGCCCTTGTGTTTAACTGTAATGCAGTTTGAAAGTTTTGTATTTTCCTTCTAGTTTTCAAAACTTGGGTATTCGATGTGTAAAGAAAAAAGAAGTAAAAGAAGCTATTATTTCAAGAATAAGGGCGGGAATCAATCCTTTCGAAGGTGAGTATGTTTGATATAATCATTTCTATTATTCAGATATTGACTCATTTGTGTCTTAAACCTGTGTTTTAAAAGCCACCTTAAATTCTGTGTTCACCTTCTACTTGTTGACTTATACCTATAGCTGAAGAATGAATTATATTTAAAATCTTTCACTGTTGAAAGAAAGGATTCTCATGCAGATAAGGCTTTCTTATATCAGTGGAGAATGTCATTATTTTCTATGAGAAAACCTCCTCAGAAATATTCTGATTCTCTTTGAATGTGGCCTTCCCTTTACCACTCTAGCAGACAATATATACTCCCCTTTCTGAATGTTGAGCAAGCACTGTGGTTATAAGGTATTGGAGTGCATTTAACTCAAGAGCATATTCAGCAGTGAAACTTAAATGAATCTCAATGTGGAAAAAGAATAGCCATAGTAGAAGCTATACAAAATATTTTCATATTATATTTTCATATTATATTTATATTATATCTATATGGATAGATATATAGTGTTTAGTGGATTTTGTTGGGGATGGCACTGTCTGGTGTAGCACCTGGCAACTATAAACACTGTATCTTGCTTTTATAGCTAAAGGACTACCAAGTTAAATGCTAACATCCTATACTGCAGTAGTCTCCTGGTAACGTCTTCTGCAGCTACCGAAATATGTATAATACAGGAATTGAACAACTATAAAATTTTCAAGAATAGATTTTTTTGTTATATCCTTATTTTGTTTATTCGTGTTTTTCCTTGATGTATAAAAATAATTTAAGAGGTATATGATAATTTAAGGAATATGCTTATTGACAAGTACTGTATTTTTATGAACCATAAGGTCTGTATCTTTCTCTAGGTCTCTATTTTTTATACTATTTAGTATAACGTAGAAAGCAAAAGTCTCCTACTTCTTCAGTTTTGACTTGCCAGAGGAGACTACTATTAAGTTTGATGTATATTTTTCTAGAATTTCCTTTACAAATGTATAGCCATTTATACACATATTATATTAATGGACTCATACTAATTTCCTATTCGACGGCTTTTTTTTCACTCAGGACTAAACCTCTTTCCATGTTAGTACTTATAAATTTGTTATACTTTTTATTGTTTCGGTAGACCATAATCTTGTTCTCTAGTCATCTATTAATGAACATTTATTTTCATCTTATTACAAAAGCTCCACTGAATATGTACTTTGAACTCATTTGTGTGATTCTTTTCCTTAGGATAAATTTTCAGAAATTCCTAGGTCAGGAATGCTCATTTAAAATTTTGATTCATTGCTAGAGTAAAAGGCTAAACTTTTTAAAGAGTCCATCTAAGTCTAGTTGCAGAGTCAAATAGGGATGATGTAGCGTAAAAGAAGATTATAAATGATAACTACCATTAAGTACTTTCTGTATGTCAAGGAGTAAATTTTAAGTGTTTTATGTGCGCAATTTTATTTTTCATTAACAACAGCACTGCTTCACAGAAGGGAAAACCAAAGGTTTGGTTACATATGTTTCCCAAGGCGGGTACAAGTGACAGAGCTGGAATTCAAATCCAGATCTCCTGACTCTAGTGGAAAAGGCATTAAAAAGGAAGATGCAGGAATCAAGAGGAAGTTTGGGGGGCTTATTTGGGGAGTGGGGGGAGTGTTTATTTTACCAATCCAGAACCAGGCATGATGTTAATAACAGACACTCATATAAGCACTTAGAATATTTCCTAGTATATAACAATTGCTTACATATTTTACTCCATTTAATTCTTTAACAACCTATGAGGTAGGTACTATTATTATCTCCATTTTATAAATAAGGAAATGAAAACATAGAAAATATAAGTAATTTGCTAAAGATCTTATAGCTGGTAAGTGGTGGAGCTAGAATTTGGACACAGTCTGGCTCCTAGCTTCATGGTCTTATCTCTCCTATGTTACCTAGAATACAGATTTGGGGAAGAAATAATCCTGCCATTTGACCCTTCACAGTATTTGTGTTTTCTGTAGTTCAGTTGTTAGTTTTTTTTAACATCTGTTCCTTCCCCTACCTCTTTTACTATCTCCCTCCTTTAGGAACTGATCTTATAATTTGAGTTTCAGTAGTTTTTCCTCTCATTAGAATAACCTTCCAGGAACAGTGCTTTCGTATATTATTGTGATTAAAAAGTTGAAGTGGCTTCCTTAGTTTAAAAATGGCCTTGAATTCAAAGTCTTCCACATATAACTTCAATAGATTTTTCATACCTCAGTCCATTTTCTCCATTTTTCTCACTACCATTGTAGGAATGTAAGCTTACATCATTTTTAGCCTGGACCATTGTTGATAACTTTTTAACTTGTGTTCCTGCGTCTATTCTTGATCACCCTCCAAGCAGTTTATGCACTCTGCATCCAAACAGTGTCTTCCAAAATCATTATGAATCATTTCAGAACTCTGTCATCCTTCAGTTGGCTCCAAATAATCTTCAGCAGTGGTTCTCAATTTGAATGTGCATAGGAATTCCTTAGTACATTATTAAAAATGTGGATTCCAGGCTACATTCTCACTAATTTGATAGGTCTGGTATGGGGCTTACAGCTCTACATTTTAACAAGCACCTAGATCCATGTTTCTTATTTGACTATGACTCAGACTAGGAAATAGATTTTATTCCTCTGTTCAATACATACACATAAACACAAAGATAAAAAACCAATACTCTTACTATATGCAGTATACTCTGTTCTATTCCATAGTTTTCTATTTCTTTTCTTTTCTTTTCTTTTTTTAAGAAAATGCTTAGCCAACCCACTAAATTAATTTTATAACCAATGAATCCCAAACTACAATTTGAAAATCTCTGCCCTATGTGATTCTGATGCAAGTGATCCATGGACCATACTTTAAGAAACTCTGATCTACTTGCTGAATTCAACTTCTCAAGCATGGCATTCAAAGCCCTTCATAATCTGATCCTTGTTTTCTATTTCAATTTTATCTCCATCTTTCATCCTCTGCTTCAACTTACTATCTCCCCTTCCCCTAACATAGAGTGCACACATGCACACTTTGTTTTTGCCATCTGAACTATTTGCCATGTTAGAAGAACCATAGTCTTTCTTGCCACTGTGCCTTTATACATGCATTTCCCTTGCGTGGAGTGCCCTGATCTACTTAGTGAATTATTGCTGCTCAGGCTTCAAGGTTAATGGTCGCCTCTTTCAAGCTTTCCTTGACCTTTCCAAACAGAGTGAAGTATTCTCTCTGTTTTCCGAAAATGCTGTACATATTTCTCATATGATTTGCTCTAACTTTGTTTACTCTGACTTTGTTTACATGTTTCTTCTTCACTAAATCATGAGACTCTGGAGGGCAGGGACTGTCCTATATGCATCTCTGGCACTTAGCTCATGTCTGGCACATGGTAGAGGCTTAATGAAAAATTTTTGAAAGAATAAATGAACAAATGAATGAATGAACTTACCTTGTTTGTACTTGTCTACCAGAAATATTCAGGTTGTTTTCCTTACCTGAAATGTCCTGAAAGCCTTCTTAGTTCTTTCATCCCAGGGCAATATCTTCTTAATTATACTATTCACTCACTCGTGAAAAGCCTAGTGACATCTATTGGATTATTTAATTCTTCAGCATTTGTCTTCTGAGATGAATTTCATGTTCATTGTGGACAGGGACTATAATGGAACTTGTTTATATTTCACTTTGGCACCTAAACAATGTATTCTTATTACTGTTATATTAAATATCTATCTTCACAACTAAATGCCTTGAGGCAATGAGTTTCCTACCTATATACAATAGGATACCCATCTTAACTACTTATATGTTCATTTATTCTACAGATTGTTACCCCATTATTGCTTATAGTCCTAGATTGTTATAGGTTCTTGGGATAAGTCAATGAATAAAACAGAAAGAAATTCCTGCCTTTGAAGAGCTTATATTTTACTAGAAAGAGACCAACAATTAACAAATTTACTAAATAAGTATATTACGTAATTTATTAGACAATGAAAATGCTAAGGAAGGGAAAAAACAATGTAAGGATCTGGGGATCTGTAGTTAGGGAATACCAGTCATATAGAATACCAGTCATCTTATATGAAAAATTGTAAAAATTTGGCCTAGGATGTTATCTCCCTTCAGAAGAGTTTCTTGTGGTAAGTGGCTAGTCACACTAGCAATCCCAGATCACCTAAAATCAGTGAAGGATTTAGGTTATTTGAAACTAGGCTTTCATCCCTGTGAGGTCAGGTATGACCTGACCAATTCACCCTTACACCTAGGGTACAGCTCCTCTGGGGCCCCAACCAAAGCAATAGGCATTGATTAGATTCTCTATCATTGGACGGCCCCTTTATATTTACCCTATAGTCTTTTGGAGAGCTCATCTCAAACTTCTCATCCTCTTATCTACTACCTCTTATAAAATTGGCAGGCTATATCTGGAAAAAAGAGCCTTCTTGTTCTGAACTTACCTCTCTGAGTTTTTGTGATACCGTGATTTATAATAAATACTATGTGTTTGGTCTTCAGCCCCATTTCTAGCATGGAGCTGGTAAAAAACCCTTGGAATTTGCAAAGTGATAAGAGTGAAAAAGGCGAAAAGAGTGTCTTCTGTTTTCATAACAAGCCTCTTTCAGCTACATCTGAGTTTGTTAATGAGATGACTTGGAAAACCCACAAAGATGAGGGGCTCTGGTTGCTGGAGGAACCAACCACATTATTAGAGAGTTGGAACTTTCAACCTCAGAAAAGGGCGGGGCTGGAGGTTGAATTAATCACCCGTGTCCAATAATTTAATTAATCATCTCATAAAATGAAGCCTCCATAAAAATCTTCACTGAAGGGGTTCAGAGAGCTTCTGGGTTGGTGAACATGCTGGGAGGGTGACATTCCCAGAGAATGTGTGAGAGCTCAGTGCCACTTCTACATACCTTTTCTGATGCATCTTTTCTATCTGGCTGTTTCCTGTGTTGTTTCCTTTTATATAATAAACTGATAATTCAGTATATAAAATGTTTTCCTGAGTTCTGTGAGGATTCTAACAAGTTATCAAACCCAAGGAGTGGGTTATGGAACCTTCAATTTATAGCCATTCAGTCAGAAGTATAGGTGACAACCTGGACTTGTGATTGATGTCTTAAGTGTGTGTGGGGAGGAACAGTCTTGTGGGATTGAGCCCTTACATGTGGGATCTGGGCTAACCCCAGGTGGTTAGTGTCAGAGTTGAGTTAAATTGTAGGACACCCAGTTGGTGTCCTGAGAGTTGGAGAATTGCTATGTATGAAAAAGCATACACATCAGAAGTGTTGGTGAGTAGCGAGTAGAGAGAAATAGAAATGTTTTTCTTAGAGTTTCTTTCGTCCTTATCTTGGCCCCATGATTCTTCACGATCTTAGTAGTTTTCTGATGCCTTTAGAAGATTTTGGTTTCGTATTTTGTGTACCTTTTTTACTTCTTATGGTAGAGTTGGTCCCACTTACATATGGGACTTTGCCATTACCAAAAGTAGAAACTCCCTTTGTTGATTTATACTTTACAGTTTTCTTCAGCAACTTATGAAATGTCTAAATATTTGGTTGTTCAAATGCCTTTTCTTAATTCTTCAGTTAGGAAATGTTTAACGGATATTTGTTATATGTAAGCTACTGTGTTCCATACTTAACGGAAATGCAAAGATGCATCTGACACCCATTCTGCCTTCATGAAACTTAGCCTAATAGGGTAGAAGAGGCATGCATAGAGGATAAACATGTAAGATTAAAAAAAAAACTTTAAGTGTGTAAGAGAGGTATATAGGTCAAGTGCTGCACTGACTTAGGGGAGATATTCTTTCTATTTCAAAGAATGAGGCTAGGCTTTGCAGAAAAGAAGAAACTGCGAGCTGGGTTTTTATCTTCACACTGAATCCTGCTTTGCGTAAAAACAGGTATCAGTCATGATTCCTTCTGGTCAGTGATTTTTAAGCATGTTGTGCAACAATGTAATTCTGATGCATATGGTAACTGTATTACCATACATTGAGAAAATTCAAGATAAAATGCAATAAAAATTGATTTTTGGAGACCCAGATAGAATTTTTATTTTTAATGGAACAATTATATGACTAAATGTTTTTAAACTTTGGTATATTAACCAGTTTAGTTTTCTTTTATATGCTATTTTAAGAGATTTTAAATAAACTTTTATTGAGGTCTAATTTATATACAATTAGATCCACCCAAACATAGATGCCCATGAAACACCACCACAGTCCAGATAAGGAACGTTTTCACTACTGCCACAACCACCCCCAAATTTCCTCTGTCCCCTTCTCAGTCAGTTCTCCCTTCTCTGGCCCCAGTCAGCTATTAATTTGCCTTTTGTCACCAATTAATCTTTTCTAGAATTTTATATAAATGGAAGCATACTACATATTTTATATCTGGTTCTTTTTACTCAGAATGTTTTTGAGATACATTCATCATGTTGGGGTATATATCCATAGTTCTTTTCTATTACATGGCTGTCACAATTTATCATTTACATAGGTTTGTTTTAAAATTTGTCAGGAATATGTAGCTACTAATTTATTTTGTGTGTGTGTTGGTTGCTCACCTTTGGAACTGAGAAACATTAATGTCTTTAACTCAAATTTATAATGCTGTAAAAAAATTGATTTTGAAGAAGTAAACCTCTCATTGCCTACATAATTGTGCCAGTAGAGTAGGCTGCTGTGATACAGGTGCTCGTATCATAACATTTTGACCTCCTAGTTGTACAAATATGTTCTTATAGACTCCTTCAAATGCTAAGTTTAAGAATGCTGACTATGGGGGGTGGGGCCTGGTTAGTAGTTGGATAGAAGACCACCTAGGAATGCCAGGTGCTGTAGGTGTTAAAAAAAAAAAGAATACTGATGATGGGATAATCTTGTGGTAGCTGAGACTATGAATGTAATTTAAAACCAAAATTACTTTGTAGTTTTTAGTTATTGTCTGTAAAACTACAAAGTTTGGGTTTTAGCTTTTCAAATTTAGTATTTCAAATTTTAATACTTATTGACAAATAAAAATTTCTATGTAATTTAATATGTATATTTCATGCTTTGCAAATAATGGCTGTGTTACCATTTATTACTACAGCTTATGGTAGGTATTCTTTGAAAAGGCAGTAATATTTTCCTTTGGACCTGGATTTCTTTCCAAATATCAATTTAACAAACTCATTATATTATATTCTTTGATAAAGAATGGGTTTTTATATTTTTTTATAACTATAAAATTTTCCTGCTGTGGGATTTGTCTTTTTTTAAAGCATACCAAATTTGCATGTAAAATTTCTTATGGAAACTAACTACTTTATATCATCTAGTATCCTCTTGGTATTTAATCCCTAAAATATTGATCTAAATTTTAGTAGATATCTCTTTTGTCATTTTTATGTAAAACATATGTAAAATTTTCTAATAGAGTTCAGTTTTTAAGAGCATAGGCTCTAGATTCAATGACCTGAGTTTGAATTCCTAATCTATCACTTCTTAGCTGTGAAGCTTTGGACAAGTAATTTCATCTCTTTAAAATCAGTTCCTCATCTGTAAAACGAAGATGATAGTCATTCTTGTACAGGTTTAGGAGATAATCTACGGAGTTCTTAGACTGGACTAAATACATTCTTGCTGAATTAATCATGAATGCTTATTCTCTGTTGTATATAACCTGCAACCATTTTGTATAAATTTGGTATTAATGTCATTTGGGATTCTGCTCTAAATTCTTGGTAACTGGGATAGTTACTTCCTGACCATGGCCGTAACTTAATGAATACTGTTAGGTAGTGACTACATGATATACTAATGATAAAAGGCATTCTTGAGATTGTGTACCATTATATTTTTGTCAGTGCAGATTTGAATGCTACTCAAGGTTATTGGATATATTGGGCAGGGAGGAGGAGGACCTACCAGGATTTTAGGTCTATGTGAATATTCTACATCCCTTTTTTTTTTTTTTTTAATGCACCATTCAGTCCCTGAACCACAGCTACTTGACACTGAAGATTGTGACCTCAATGTAGTAAGATTATGTTTTCAAGTTTTCCTCTATGATGAACATGGTAATTTGACAACTACTCTACCACCTGTTGTTTCTAACCCAATTTATGACAATCGTAAGTACTTTATTTTCTTGTATTTGTAGCCTTAGCTTGTTTTTTTATAGTTTAATTTTTTAAATATTTTGGTAACTAGAAAAGCAGTGTATCATATGAAAAATTCAAACATTCCTCAAATAAATAACAACAGTTATTCTCCTTTAGTAAATCTCCTCTAATGTTATTCTCCAAAGATAATCACTGTCCTCAGATACATTTTCACTAGTTTCTTCTTCATATATATATACAAACACATCATCATCATCATTCACACAATATATTTTTGGCAACTTTAAAAAAATCACTGATCTTTTTTTAAACTTTTTTTTCCTCTTAGCAGTATATCTTGAATCCTTATGCACCTTATTCTTTTCAGTAGCCGCATAGTTCCTTACACAGCTATATCATAATTTTATTAAATCGTTACCCTATCACAGGTCATTCAGTTTGTTTCCTTCTCAACTTTTTTTTTTGTTCTATCAAATTGTACTGCAGTAAATATTTTGTATGTGCATATCTTGTGCAAATAGATCCCTAGCTGAAATAGAAATGTTGGCAAGTGCTAGATCAAAGGATACAGAATTTTATGGTTTTAAAAAATTATGAGATTGCCTTTATATTGTGTGTCTACTCATATATGATCACCAATGATATATAAATATACCTGTTTTGCATAAAAGGATAGTGGGGCATAGGGCTCTAAAGGTAGATTAGAATATTCTTATCATGGAGAGCTTTGAATGCCAGGGAGAGTTACTGGAATAATATTGGCCAGATAATAAGCATGAAACCTGCATCATTTAGGAAGATTAACCTGGTGACATTGTGTAGGATGGATTTGAAGAATCCGAATTTAGAAGCAGGAAGATTTAATGAGAGGACATGTCATTGCCTAGAAATGAAGTCATAAGGCTTTATATCAGGTTGGGCAATGCAGTTAGAGAGGAAAGGGACAGATGTGGATGATTAATGTATTTAGTGTCCTTAATTCATATATTAAAGCTTTTATCTATTCTGTAAATTGTTTTCCTAAAATTCTCTCCATCAAAAAGGGATAAAATATATTACTAAGGTAGCAACCCATTAAAATATTTTTTATGTTTAGGTGCTCCTAATACTGCAGAATTAAGGATTTGTCGTGTAAACAAGAACTGTGGAAGTGTCAGAGGAGGAGATGAAATATTTCTACTCTGTGACAAAGTTCAGAAAGGTATTTATTTTTTTGTTTGTTTCATTGAATTCAGCATATATTTTAGATCAATAGATACATTTTACTTTTTTTTCCCCGTTCATGTTTCTTTGCTTTCATATTCACTAGATGACATAGAAGTTCGGTTTGCATTGAATGACTGGGAAGCAAAAGGTATCTTTTCACAAGCTGATGTGCACCGTCAAGTAGCCATTGTTTTCAAGACTCCACCATACTGCAAAGCTATAACAGAGCCAGTAACAGTAAAAATGCAGTTGCGGAGACCTTCTGACCAGGAAGTTAGTGAATCTATGGACTTTAGATATCTACCGGATGAAAAAGGTATTTCTTGGTAGTAATGTTTGATAATATTTCCTAAAGTTAGTCCTGCTAATAACATTTTCTTGTAAGAAACATTAAAATACAGTTATGTTTTTTTCATAATTTATGTTTCTTTTCCTGAAAGTTTTTAGTTGATTTTTGACTAATTTGTTTGCATCTCTGGATGCATCTGGAATAATTTCGGTCTCTAAACTGCTTATCAAAATTTGTTTTATATTTTGAGAGGGTTTTTTTTTTGGTCCTTACTGTGCCCTTTTTATAGATGGCAAACTTGCCAATCAGAGAGTAGTCTCCTTTTCTGCCCTTATTGCCTTAATTGACATTGTTGACTTATAGGTGTTAAAAGAAAACGAGAGGAATATCAAACTGTTTTTAACTAAGAGAAAATGCTCTTACCTACTGAATTAGGACACACACTATAACACTTATTAAATCCATATTATATACATTTATTTAAAGCATTTTCTATATGGAAATAAAACACCTACTTACTTATTAAAGGAGAAGCAGCATAATCCTATGATGATTTACATGCTTTCCTGGTTTCTTTCTAACCAGATGCTTATGGCAACAAAGCAAAGAAACAAAAAACAACTTTACTTTTCCAGAAACTATGGCAGGATTGTGGTAAGAATATTTTGGATTGATTTGTATTTAATTAGATTTGGGGTTTTGTTTATTCAGTTTTTCAGATTTTAACCGATGTTAGTTTTCACATTATATTTAATAATGGAAAAACTTTATCACAGCAGTTAATTTTCCTGAAAGACCTAGACCCGGTCCCTTAGGATCAACTGGAGAAGGAAGATTCATCAAGAAAGGTATTTTATTCCCTATAGAGTATTCCTTGTGATCTGAAAAACCAGTGCTTGGCATGGTATATTGGAATCCATTCTTGGGAATAAAACTGTTTCTCTGATGTTATTTTTTATTCCTACACATTTTTTCATCCTTTGAACATTGAATGACTGGATCTCAGCTTCCAAAGGTCCTGTTGAGAACGGAGGTTTATTGTTTGAGAAATTACATTTTGTTCATATGGTGATAATTTTACTAATTACAATATGTCATGGAAGAAACAGTTTAGATCTGGCCAGTAGTCTGTCTTTATAAATAAAGTTTTTACTGGAATATCCGTGTTCATTTGATTAGATACTGCCTATGGTTGCTTTTTTTGCACCACAGCAGCAGTCAGGTAGTTCTGATAGAGGCTGTATAGCCCACATGCAGCCTAATATATTTACTATCTGGCCCTTTATAGAAAAAAAGTTGCCAACTTCTGGTTGAGATTATTCAACCAGAGTTAATTAGAAGTCTTTGCCCCTTACATTCTTAAATCAGTGCTTTTTCCTGGTTGTATATATAGCGGTCATATAATGTGTAAATAAACACAGAATCCTTAATTTTTTTTTTTCTGACTGGGAATTTGTAGTACCTACCTTAGTGTTATATCTTAATATATCTTAGGAAGTTAAATGGATTTTTCAATGATTGAAAAACAACCTTAATGAATGTTACCTGCAACCTTTAATTTTTTCCTAAAAGTGAAAAATATAAAATGATTTTTGCCTATTTAGAGTCCCATTAACTGAAATTCTGATATTTATCTTTCACTTTTAAAAATACCTTTATAGGACCTTAGAAGCTAGATTTTCATATTTAACTGGAGTGAAATTATCTATGTTAAAATAACTTACCAAAATTATTTTATAGGTATTTGTAAAACAGTAGGTATCACAGAATTCCATTTCATTTTAGTGCTACTTAACATTTTAATTTGAAATGTTACTTCAGTTTCCTTGAAAAATTTATTAGTGTGTTTGTGCAGTTTTTAAAAATAGTACTTTTTATAATTTTATTTCAGTTTTATAATAATGCATTTTCTTCCTCACAGAATCAAATTTGTTTTCTCCTGGTGCAGTTTTGACAGAAATGTCCAGGCCTTCAGGAGTTTCAAGTCAAGCAGAACCCTACTATTCCTCTTCTGTGTCCATCTCAGGTACATTGTCCCATCATGCTCCAGCCATACCCTTGGGGGTACCTCAGACTTCGTCAAGCTGGTCTTCGGCAGCCCACCCCACCTCATGCCCAGTCAGTGCAAATCCACTGAGCAGTTTTTCAACAGGGACATTTTCCTCTAATTCACAGGGTATCTCACCATTTCTGGAAATGCATGTCGTGAGTGATTTGAATGCTTCTAATGCTTGCATTTTTAACAGTACTAATGACATAGGCAGAATAGAAGCGTCTTCCATGTCACCGGCTGCCTTATATGGTATTTCTGATGCCAACATGCTGCCTAATTGCCCTGTGAATATGCTAACATCCAGTAATGATAGCATGAGGGACACCGATAATTCGAGACTTATGAGTGTGGATCTTGAAAACCCCTCATGTAATTCAATGTTAGACCCAAGTGACTTGAGACAGCTCCATCAAATGTCCTCTTCCAATATGGCAGCAAGCACCAGTTCCAGTACTACTGCTTTCAATTCACAATCAGATGCATTTGAAGGATCTGACTTCATTTGTGCAGGTAACGGCATGATGAATGAGTCAGGACCGTCAAATGGTACTAGTCCAAACAGTCATGGTTTTGTTCAAAGCAGTCAGTATTCAGGTATTGACACTATGCAGAATGAGCAATGGAACAACTTACCTGCATTTGAATTTTAAGTTAACTTGTAATATTTAAATGGCGATTCAAGATTTAAATCCTTTGAAATGTTTGTAACCATTTATTACCTATATAGATACAGCATTTTATATTTCTCTGAGAATTTACACAGGTTTTTTTTGTGGGGGAGGGGTGGGGTAGTTGAGCGGTGATAGTCCAAAAACTTTATCTGGGAGAACTGTAAAACCTTGAGTATGTAGTGGATTTCTCTACCAGGAAGTCTTGGCTCTGGAGCTCCTCATTTAGCTGGCAGAGAGTTTGTCAGGATATAATAAATGACAAATGCTCAGAGCTGAAGCCACCACTGAGAGGGATGAACTCATATCCCAACTTCCAGAAGAGCTGGAAAAAGTCCAGTATTTACAGAAGACATTTGCTTCAAAAACAGATAAATGCACACAAACTGAACTTCTGGGCTGTGATAACCTGTGGGACTCTACATGCACCAATTTAACCTAGTATGTATTTCAGCCTAGGTTAAATCATTGTTTGACCGTAGACGTGTATAATGAATCTGTGACATGTTAAATATTGAAAAAATATCAATTTTTCCATTGGGGAAAAAAACAACTTTGAATATGTAGAATACAAAGTTGGAAACTGCTGGAAAAGGATAATTCCAAAGTAGAAATTTAAAAGGGTTTTACAGTTTTTTTCCTTTGAAACATGGGGCCAGACTATGTGTGCGGTGGGGATACTGTCTTTAGATTCCCACCACATTTCCCAGAACAGTGAAGAGAACAGTAGAGCACAGCTCTAGTTTTTACAATTATGTTTTTTATATTTCTTTTGTAATGTATTATTGTATTCTTAAATGAATTAACTGATATTTGCTTTTAAGCAAATTTAAGGTAAAACCTGTAATGGCTATGTCATTGGAAAAATAAATTCCTTATTATTTTTGAGACCTATGGCCAAGGTGACCCCTAAGGGGTTTTCCGAGGCTTCCTGAAGTTTCTTAGATTTATATGTAAATCAGAATTTCTTTAAAATGCTAAATTAAACAATATGCTTCAAGGTATGGGATGTTCTCTATATTTTGGGCTATTTAAAACCATACCTTTAAAATTGCTTACAATTTTTAGTTCATGCTCATGTTTTTAAGGGGAAGAAGTTTCCTTGGACCGCTCCTCTTTCTTCTGTGTCCTCAATCACTGTGCTCTCATCCAATTCCATGCGGTCAGCTGAAATTTTACCCCTAGCTAAGGTCTGTCCCCAAACCCCAGAAATGGGGTTTACACATGCATGTAAAACTGCCTATTTGACATCTCTACCTAGAAATCTAATTAAAGCTCATACTCAATGCAAGATTGATCTTCTATCCCAAACTTGCTTCTTTTCAGTCTTCCCCCAACTCAGTAAATGGCAATGCCATGCTTCTAGTTGCTGAGGTCCAAAACCATAGAGTCATCCTCGATTCTTTTCTTTCTTTTCTCTCTCATATCGAAATGCATCAGCAAATCTGATAGACCCTACTTTCAAAATATATCCAAAGCTGACCACCTCTTCTGACCACTACTATTAGCATCCTATTCCAAGCCACCAGCAACTCTTGCCTGGATTGAAGCTATAGCCTCCAAAAATGCTCTTTATATCCTTGTGCCCCTCCAATCTGTTCTCCCTAAGGTAGCCAGGTGATTATTTTTAAGGCAAGTCAAATAATATTCATCTGCTTAGAATCATTCAGTGGCTCCCTGTCTCACTCAGAGTAAAGCCCAAAGTCCTTAAAATTAGCAGATCCTCACTCCCTCTCCTACCTCATCTACTACCATTTTCCCCTCTTCGTTCAGCTCCACGTACTCTGGCCTGTGCTCCACTTCAAAAACACTCTGCTGCCTCAGAGAGTCTTTGTACTTGGTGTTTTACTTGGAATGTTTTTCTCTCGGATATATACATAGCTCACTCCTTACATCCTTCAGTCACACTCAACTGTTACCTGATCAAGGCCTTTCTTATATATATAAAATCATCACTCCATGCCCTCCCTCCTTTATATTTGTCCATAATACTTATCTCAGCATTCATTTGTTTACTATTTGTTTTTCTATACTGGAATATAAGCTCCATGAGGGCAGAAATATTTGTTTTGTTCGTTGCGTCCCTAGATTGTAGAACAGTGTCTGCCTCATATAAGCACTTAGTAAATATTTATTGAACATTCAAAGTACTGCAGGTACAGCTTTGTTTTTTGAAAGAAAAAATAGCTTTAATTATTAGATGTTTATGATTTTTATAGTTCTGTTTAATGTGACATTGGGTTTATATCAGAATAATGTACATTCAAGTTAAGCACTAATAATAGTAATCCAAATTGTTTGAAAGCAGAGTAATCCCAGTGGCAAAATGATGGTAGAATTTGGGCAAAAACTTAATTGCAATGGGATTGTCATGATGCTAAGTAATTTATTAAAGACCTAGTTTACTTTACAACTAGAGTCCCCCACATAAATGGTTGAACATATTCCTAGCTAGACACAATGTATCATTTCACTTATATAGCATCCAACAAAACCATAAATTTACTGGAACAATTAAAACTAGTTAATCTGGTCAAAATAGGGAATGTGTGAATGTCATATAAACAAAAATTTTTAGTTGAATGATACTGGGAAATGAGGAGACTAAGATAAGACTTCGAGTCAGGATATTTAGGAAGCAAAAGAAAAAGATTAAAAGTACCTAACTAAATACCATTACTATTTCTCAGAAATTATGACTTCAGAAATGAAACATTTCTGTTATATAATTTTAAAAATTATAATCACATAACATACTTTAGTAGAATTTACCAGGGAGAAAGAAAAACCTGAAGACATAGTTTCTTACCTGTTCAATATATAAACCCAAGGGAGGGGGGAGGTAGATGGGGTAAAAGGGGTCAAATATGTGGTGACAGAAATAAATCTATGGGCGGTGAACACACAATGCCATATACGTGAGTGTGTGTGTGTGTGTGTGTGTGTGTGTGTGTGTGTTGAATTGTGCACATGAACTTACTGGATTTCATTAACTAATGTCACCATAATAAAAATTTTTTTAAAAACAGTTTCAGAGGAAGGAGCCTTTAGGGAAATCACTTTTAAATATATATATTGAATTTTTTAATATTTAATTGATACCACAAAATTCACTTGTTTAAAATATTTTCTAACTTTTGTTGACTTCTTATTTTGAAAAATAAAAATGTATGGTTAAATTATAAAAAAATATATAAACCCAAGATATTTCTAGATAGTAGTTGATAACTGGTACACTTTTTTTTAAAAAAAAAATACAGAATCCTATAATTTTTATCAATTTAAACACTTAGAAAATCTAAATGGATTTTTTAAAAATTAATAATCAGTTGGCTTGTTTTCTTCTGTGTAAGCCGAATTAAGGTACTGCTACATCTGTTAAGAGTATTTCCATTGGATTTTTCATTTTCCAGGTGCTATTTACTGATCATAGAATTTATTTTATAATTTAAAATGAATTTGTCAACCTGCTTTTCTTCTGTCTCTAAATGTGTTTCACTTTTACCTGTCCTTATAACACCCTACTCTTAGTTTCTGAGGAAAAGGTGACCTTATGATTTGTTCACTGGATTCCCCTCTCCTCTTTCATCTTATTTCTGTATCAGCATTTAGTGCCTCTTTTTTTTTTTTTTTTCATAAACATGGTAGTGTCTTCTTTAGCTTAAAAAGGAAAACACCTCTCCTTTCATCCTCATATTCCTTCTCTTCACATTTAGACTTATAAACTGCTTTCAATGTCCATTTCCTCACTTCCCAGTCATTCTTTACCATACCATCTCTCTCTTTACTTCCTACTCCTTCCTTATGATATTCTAGGAAAAGTGACCAGAGACACCCTCTCTTGTCAAATCTAGTATCTGTTTATTAGTCCTCACCCTGCTTGACCTGTCTGTAGTCTTCTATTCCGTTGACCACCCTCCTTGGAGACTCCTCCAGGGCTTCTGTGATAGACAACATTCCTCGCTCAGGTTGATTTTTCCCCCAGTCCCAACCCCAGCTTTGTTGGTGCTATTTTTTTCCCCTGGATGACCTTATCAGTGCCCACAGCTTCAGCTTTCTCGCACAATATCTCATTACCTTTATAAATGGCTCCTCCTTTTGTATGCTCTTACATTAATGGCATTACCATTTACCCTGCCACGCAAAAATATTTGAAAGAAACCTCACAGTCATACTTAGTCATCAGGTCCTTTTGAGTCTGCCTCCTAAAAATCTCTTGCATTAGTCCCTCCTTCCTTCCTTGCATTCTTG